ACCGCTGAATGCAAGTGCGTGACAAGATAAGTAGATTAAACTGAACAAAAAAGTCCTCTACTATTTTGTAAAATTCACATTTATTAACGAGATATTAAGTTTATTTGCCGATCTTTAAAAATTAATATCTTGTTAACAATTGCGTATTTTACAAAATGGTAGAGGACTTTTCGATTCAGTTTAGTCCGTTCTACCTACCCATGAACGGTGATACACCTATTATGAGACACCCTGTATATATGTATATACGTATACACACATATATGGACATACATATGTATGTCCATATATGTGTGTATACGTATATATGTCTATATCAAAGGAAAATTGATGGGAAAATCAGAAAACAAGGATCATACGAAACAAAATGCAGCACATATTTAAGAAAGGTAATTCACATACAACTGTTTATTGAGACATGTAGAATACATCTGGTCATACACAAAAATCTTTGACACTTTAAATCAAGCTCCTAGCCCGAAAAAAGGAATCATGTTATAACATTCGTCTTTAAATTCATCATTAATCATTATGTTTAACTACGTTTCACACTAAAATTAGGGGCAACTTGGAGAAATAAAAATTGCGGGAATTAAAAAGCAAAGCGATTGGTAGAGGAGGTGAATAATTAAAGAATCCGAGAAAACGCAAAATACAATTAGCGGTGATATGAAGAATTTGGCGATAAAAATTTTGCATATCTGTTTTACAGCTGCGGAGCTGACATGTAGCGCAAAAAAGATATAACATATACATATGTATCTTTTTTTTCTTTCCTTTTCGGGGATTTGGAGGCGGTGTTTTTCTTATTGAATCTTTCGTTAATTATCATACGATTTCCTTCTTTCTCGTTAATTAGTGCTAAATAACATCACGTCACAAAAATGCATATTCGTAGGAATATAATATATAATATATTTATATATATAATTAAAAAAACACGTGGTTCGTGGGCCACTTTGAACTAACGTTCGCAACATTTCGGCCCATGGATCACACAATATCCGCCTGACACGTGAGAGGTGGCCAATCGTGACATAAGCCCCGAATAATGTGAACAATTTTTTCAAAGAAAGGACATGATGTGCTGCGAATTATTATTATTATCATTGTCATTATTTAATCGGGGCGTTGGCCGGGCAAAAAAAAAAGAAAAGCGCGCGCGCGCGCGCGGCTACGGCATCGCCAGCCACAGTGTGTGTGGTGCATTATCCTAAAATGCAACCGATAACCACCCCAGGCACCCCAGCTGCCACACCGATTATCAGAATACAAAAAAGGAAAAGGAAAATCGGGGAGAGATAGAGTGGAAACGAGAATAGGAAAGGGGCAGAGTGGAGGCGAGGGTAAAAACAGGAAATACAATAGTGATACTTGTGGGGCGCCTTTTTAACCGGGGCGGAGCCGGTGGTATTATCGATAAACGCTAGTACCTAGATCAGTCTAAGAATCTCGTCACCGTGAACTGTCTCCGCTTTAGCCAAGTTATGCTTCCTTGCCCCCGCAAGCCGAACTCTCTCTTTAAACGTATCTCTGCATCTATGCATGTGTGTGTGTGTATACATGTGTAATATATATAATATATTCTCTTGCTTTTTTCATTATCTTTTTTTTGCCTTTATTCTTTTCTCTATCATGCTCTTATTATTCCCTTTTTTTAATTACATTTTTTGCACGGAAAAAAACCAGAATTTTTTTCTTTTATATTGGAATATTATCATGTGTCACAAAAACCCACTCAATTATGATTAGCAATATCATCCTTATCATATTGTTAATATTAATATTATTATATCCTCGATATTATGCTTTTATAAATAGGATGTGTAGGTAAGTAGAGTAGGTAGGTAGATATAAAATATGGTAGGCGAATAATCAAGGATGGTGGAAAAGGGAGGAGGGGGCACGAAAGGAATGAAAAATAGATAGCTAACGCAAACCGCGATTTCGCAATTCGCTCGAATTTTCCTTTCCTTTTCTTTTTTTCCGTTTTTAGAAACAATGATCGAATTACTGGGGACAAGACATGTATATAAGAACGGGAAATTTTTCTCTCATCTAATCGCACATTATTACTAGATGTGGTTAACTCATCGCTACCAAAAACAGTATCGATGACAAAGAAGAATTAGACTTAAGTAAAACATGAATAAAAATTAACAAAATGCTCGTAAAACACGAGGTTGGGCGAACAATCTATCGTCATCCAGACATTTCGTCCATTGGTGCGTTTATCGTTTCGCATTTTTCATATTTTGTGTGTGTGTGTGTGTGTGTGTGTGTGTG